AAGTGTATCTGATGTGTTCAGTCCTCTCAGAGTGATGAAGTCTTTCAAGAGGGCAATGAGGGAGCCGATTAGCATCATTCAGATGAAGGACAACCAATTCAAGAAGTATCTAGAGGCTTCACGAAACTTAGACTTCAAACATATTCCTTTTTCCAAGGTGAAGTCATTGAAGTACAGCGACAAAGATCTGTTTGGCTTGGCGTTCAAGAAATCATTTGAGCCCGAAGCTGATTGGGAACATGTTTCACTTCGTAAGCGTGAGATGTCAGTGTAAAGAATGTTGTCACCACCAAGAAGTCCTACTTCAGTGGTATGGCCATTGAGCAAGCAAGTTTCTGGGATTCCAAAAATGGCCAAAGAGAAAGCAGCAGATATCAGAGCCATGTTAAAATTTATGACCCCGGCGGACAAACGATTTATGAGTGGCCTTATTTCATAGGTTGTTACTGAATAAATGTATCAGTCTGTTAGGTTGTATCAATGTTTTGAAACGTTAACAGTTCAAGAGTTGTGTTTAAGCAGTTAAGCGGTTTCTCCTAAACAAGGGGGAGTGTAAAATGTTGTTGTTGGACAATGCTCTTGTCATATTTGATTGCCTTTCCCTGAATGGAATAGACGGGTACTCAAAGATGGCAAACTCAGTTTGTATATGGACTCTATGCAAACATTATTTGACAGTTAAAGTGAATTATGAAAACTTAGTTTTATTGATTTCATTCGTTATTTATTCTTGTCATATATTCAAATTGAATACTTTATTGTATTGTGTCTCCAGTTTCTAATCAGATTTTGATTTAAGATGTTTTGGGAATATTTTCATTAAATTCATGAATCGTGTTTTGCCTTTCTTCTTTTTTTTTCACATTGGTCAAGGAATGTACATGCTATAAATTGTTTATTTGATGTTTTACAATACTTTACAATACTAATTTCAATGTACCTTTACAAGTAGTGACGTAAAATATCCAGCATATGTCACATAGAACAATATGGAACTAATGGAAACGGCTTCAGATTATAGAAAAATCTCCAAACTTTATTTTGTTATTTTAATTGACATTTTCAATTCATTTGATAAAATTTGTAGTTTATGTACTCAAACAATTTTTCAAAAACTTTTACAGCTCAGTTTCTCAAAACAATGTTTTGTGGAGTTAGAACACCCTGGTTCTCAGGCGACGAATTATTACATATATATATATATATATATCTGCCAATACCAGGGTTGATTGCACGATTCCGTAAACGCCGTATCGCAACTAAATTCACGAACGCCCATGTCCAAGGTGTGGAAAATGATCCCAAAATCAAATCTTAGGGCATCAACATCAACGCTAACTAAAAAATCAGATATTTCTAATAAATCTGGTGAAAGTTTGGCTTAACTTTTATCCTCATCCAACTATGTACCTTTATTCCAAAATTATCAAAAGCAGCCAGATTTAATTTTAATTCAGATAATGGGAAAGATCATAATGAAATATTTTCTATTCATGTACTCCATACTGCACTTGGACCAGCTCCCGATACGGCTACATGAACTGATAACATACATTATCAACTCCTGAAACCAGAACATGTTTCCAAACACTATACAACATTTTGATGACATTTTGACGTCATGGAAATTTCCTCCTTCGTGGCGTGATGCTATTGTTGTCCCAATATACACATGCCCGGGAGAGATCATACTGACCCTTCAAATTACCGTCCAATATCATTGACAAGCTAAGTTTGCAAAACCATGGAACGCATGATAAATGATAGCTCAGTTTGGTACTTCGAAATAAACAACCTTACTACTAATTTACAATTGGGTTTCCTGAAAAACAGAATCCCTAGATCATTTAGTTCGCTTAGAATCATTTGTTTAACATGACATAATAAACATGAAGTGTCTTTCTTTTTCGACCTCTAAGAAGCATATGACAGTACATGGGAACTTGTTTTTTTAAAAGATTTACATTATTTGGGATTGCGAGACCGTTTGCCTCTATTTATAAAAAAGTTTTTAAACTGACAGGCAATATCAATTCCACTTGTGCTCCACCCAGTCTGGTCATTGAAATCAGGGTCAGGTTGTCCCAGAAGGCAGTATTTTTTCTGTCACTTTATTTGGCACAATGATTAGTTTTAAATAACTCAACTGATGGATCGCTTTTTTTAGATGTTTCCAAATTTCGTTCTCCAATCCAACGTATGACTGTGTTTTTTATCCTCTGTATAAGAACTCGACACTAAAAAATAATCTTTTATTCCACCACTTGGAATAAGAATACAATCTGATATTTCTGCTGCTAAAATATATTTTGAATCCTTAACTGAGGTTTTGTTTTCCCCACCGTGGTACTTGGTAAAGCCAGGGGCGGATCTAACATTAACTAAACTAAAACAAATCTTAAAACAATTCAACCAACTTATCAACAAGAATATAATGAATTAAGGAACACATATGACACTTACAAATCTATATTTACAGATGGACGCAATTGGATCCAATACTCTGTCATCCACATTACTTGATAACTGTTCCATTTTCAAAGCAGAAGCAAATGCCATTTTACCAGAATGTCGTGTTAGCCATAGCAGATATATTGAAAGGTGGGGATTCTCCATCCTGTATACCTTGTGATGAAAAAATTACTGTCAAGCATGTACTGATTGACTGTATTAATGTTCTATCACAAGGGATAACTATTTCGAAAGTTTCATCCTAAAAAGGAACTTTTTGACACCATAAGTTTTTATTTAATTATCATGTTTTAAAAAGAAATTGAACTTATTGATAAAGCCTGATGTACACAGTTGTTTCTTAAATCGGTAGGGTATAATTATTAACTGAGATTGTTTGTGACTGCCCTTTACGGGAATTGAAGTGCAGTATAATAATGGTCCCCCTGAGAGGGTATCGTAAGATTTAATTAAAAGTATATTATCTCTTCCTTATTTTGACAGTATATTTGTAAATTTTAATTGATGGCTGAAATAGCGTACAATCGCCAGCAGGGGAAGAGATGGTATAAATCCGGCTGTGGAACCGTGCAGGTGGTAGAAGTATCGAAAGACACCAGGGTCCCTAGTATTGTGGCCTAACTTTGGCTGCTGGCGATCTCGAGCCCATTTTTATATTGTGTTGTTGAATCATAGTTTATTGTTTTATATGCTATTATTAGTTTTAAATAACATCCTTGATAATCTAAATATTTACTGTCATTTGTTGACAGTTTTTTTTGTCGAAATGTATGTATTGTTAATGTACAACTTTCTATAGTCATGATATGACTGAAATGCTTGTGTTGTGACTGTCTATATAACTCACTCACACTCTCAATACTTTCTGAATGAAACTAATTACATTCATGTGTGACCTTGATATTTGACACCCCCATGACAGGTAATGGGATTATTATTGAAAGTACATCATAAGTAACTGATAAGAAAATGATAAAATATTTCATGAACTAAACCATATTAATTTGTGAAATGTGTACCATATTTCCTAATTTGACCTCTAGTGACCTTGACCTTTCTTGGAGGTCAGCCAAATGTTGATGGGATTGTAACCCCAATTATAGATAAGCTAGAGTACGTTTCATACAATTCTGTTCTATGTCTTGGCATATTGTTCATACTGAGTGACCTCGACCTTTAAACAAATACTCGGGGTTATAGAAGTGTAGATGAAGTACGAAGTCTCAAACATCTTTCATTAGTGCATAGTTGTGAAAAAACAATTATGGTGGCGATAGTGACGGAGTTCAAATTCGAGCAAATAGAGAGGGTTGCTTTAATATATTTTTAAGTGTATGATCTAGATAATTAAATAAATATCAGTTGCAAGTATTGCAAGATCAATTTCGTGCTCTATCCAGTACGTTAACAAAAATGTATGCCCCTTGGTGTGATGTACATATTGCAAGCAAGCTGGTATCAGTAGATTGTCATCACTTGTCTATAAAAAATATTCAAATGGTATAACTTCCACATGCATAAGCCATCGCACCGTAGCCCACCTGGGTATGTACTCAAAAGTTTATAATGTCATCAAAAGACATGCACTTTACAAAAAAGTTGCTCTTATTAGTGATATGCATTGCTTGCTGCTGAGGACCAAATGCTAACTCTGAAGCCCAAATGATTTGAACAAAATATGATCCCATTAAAAGAAACATAGAGTTAGTTCAGTTTCCTTGCACAAGGGTCGAAACAAGGAACACTTGTGAAAAGTGGAACAGATTTGTTGGGATCCACTGCAAACAACAAATAAAAAATTCTAACATATTTGAAAACATTGGCTGAATATTAATAAACATAAATATAATTTTCAATATGAGCTGAGGGGGAAAATATGTGAAGTTATAGCTTTATTGATGTGATATCTGATGAGATGATGCTTACTGAGACTAGACAGATTTGGGGAGACTTTTCAAGAGCGTTGTCGATTTACAAAGGTCAAACTTTAAGATATTGCAAAACAACGAAACGTGTAAAGCCCCACTGCTAGTTACATGTATAACACATTTCAATACATTTTAAGTGAAAATGTCTGAGTAATGGCCATAAATATGTTCTCCATTGTGTGTTCCATTGGCGGTCGTACTGAAAATCAGATTTAGAACTATTGTACAAGTGAAGGTGTCATCATTGGTGTGAACGAGCATGTGCTATTTTTACATCATTGGTCCAGTTCACATTGGGTCATTGACTTGCTCATTGTTAGATTTTCTCTTGAAGTGTATAACACACTTTTGTGTACTTTATCATGCAAGTCCAACACTGGCTAGTATAATAATGAAAAAAGGGGCTCGCTATGAGCAATTTGCAGATATTTCAAAGAATTCTGTAACTTCCAAAGTTACTCGTAGACAGGGGTTTGGAGTATTAGACGCATAAAACGAATGTATTCCTTTTGTATTAAGATCAGTATTATGTGATGTTTGGACGTTGAAGGTTTAGGTTTAGGTTGGAGGTGAGTTTCAATCAAACACAAAATTGTTTACCTGTACTTCATCGCCGTCTCCAATCTCTGTGGTTCCATAAAATTGTGTGGCGCCTGTTTGTGTTCTAAGTTCTTTTTTCCATTTTCCTGGCTCTTGACACGTTTTATGTTCCTCTTTGGATTTTCCACACACACAGTCGAAGCCATTGAAATGATTGCTTTGTAGTGTATAAAACTAAGGATTATGTACTCATTTATTAATAAATATAGAGGGTTAAATCTATCTAGAACACACAAACCTATAGACATTTCCCTTTGACAAGAGCCATTTTAGTTCGATTTGTTTGACATAGATTTGTCATAAAAGTAAACAGCATTCTTACTTTGATTAGTGTCCTAATTCGTCATACCATTAATCTGCACAAAACGTATCTTTAATGCAGGACAAAATATGTAAGCAACACTTTATCTGCTTTAAACATCGATGCAATAAAAGTTGACACTTAGGCAATCAATGGCTATATTGTATTCCTGTTCTTTTCGGTGTACATGGTATTTCATGACTTTGCCTTATACATATTGTGTTACTGACCTTAAGTAAGTGTGGCAGTCTCGTTGTTTGATGTTTGTCTCAATCCAATCCCCATGTTTCAAAAACCAGTCCTGTGAACCATCACCCTGGCGAGAAAGGCGTACTGATAATGCAAGTGTTAGGGCTTATGAAGAAATAATTCATTCTAGATACACCATACAGTCATTGCTCCGACTGTTATTGGATTAGACTGTTGTGTACATACTGATGCCATGACTAAGTAGAATGTGTTGGCTGTCTTTCTAAGCAACGAAATTCAAAGTCAATGTATTGAGTCTGAAAGATGCCGCCACAGCCGTGGACACAGGGAAAGACGAGGGCAACAATGATGCGATTGAATTTGAAGATCTGTTGCCCCTCCTTCAGAAACCATTGGGACTGCACTGATTCAGTAAACTCCAGCAATGTTCATCTTCTGGATTCATCTTTTAAAAGTAAGAACCAACAGTATCAGTTGGAGAGTACAGTTGTTGATGTTACTTTCGAACGTTTGGAGAAACTAAAAAGAGACTGAAAACAGGGGTATTGATGGTTTAAACTTAATGTGCAAACGAATAAATAAAAATAGAAACGTATTGCAGAACGTGGACTTGAAGCTCATGATGTAAATTTCACCATTGTAGCTGCAAGACTGCGAAGACTGCGAATACTGCGAATACTGCTATATAATTATGGGTGAATGATCTATTGTTGACAATAAAAACCCTTGACAAGTATTCAAATATGGACCAAATTATTGCGGGCAGCCTCCAACCAATTGGAAGCAAGACCTTAAATTCAATGGGGATGCCTAAACATGGGCCAATAGAATAGAAGTGCCTGTTGAATGTCTTTCAGAGTAGGTTTATTCAGTGTGTGATGTTGTCATAGAATACACAACTTTAAAAGGAGGAAACAGACTTAGAATAATCCCATTAGATTCCAGACAGCTGTCATTCAGCGTCTACATGAGCAGTTTGTAGTTGTTCCCACTGATAAGGTGTAAAATAACATAACTAGCATAAGTAAGCATCACTACTGCTAACCAACACTTCAAGACCTTAAGTGATATTTAATTGTTGGATCCATTGGGCATTTGTCAAGAAAAACAGTGACCATATATAATTATCAATCTCATTGCTGTATAATGCATAGAAACACAGAAACAAAAGAAACAAAGAAGCCGGAAAGAGTTATATTTCTTTATATATGCAATCAATGAAAATTGAAAGTAAGCGAGACAGAACGGCCTGCACTTGTTACGGATGTCTGGAGAGACTTCTGTGTTGTCTTTGAAGTCGCCCTTTCCTGTGTTGTCTCTGAAGTCGCCCTTTCCTGTATTGTCTCTAAAGGCGCCCTTTCACAAATCGTCTGCTGACCAACATTTCTTTGATAAAGGCGGGTTGCTGCAATAGCCCTCGAAGAATGAATGCTCTTCACTCAACGCCTCGCTAAAAACGAAGCAGGAAACCGTCGTCGTTGTTGTCAGCTTCTTGGGGGTTTTCATTGACATTGAAAAAACTACTTTGAGCCAAACACAACTGGCAATCTATCTCCGAGCCGCCAATCCCGTCTTCTCCTAAGCATAAAGACATGTCCTCAAGTCAATTCCGCTGGGCCCGTGCACCTCGTGCAAGCCACTCAGTTAGCAGTCACGTGGTATTAACACATTTGCTTTACCACTGTCAGTTCGGTATCTCTTAGCGAAGATGGGAAGTTTTGATATCGATATAAATATCTTCCTGGAGCATCCAAAGACGGTTGATAAACTGGGGAAACCACCCTAGCACACCCCATTGACACAATTGTGCTCCCCTCTTTGCTAATCTTTTTTTTTATACATATGAATCGGAATGTCTGCTCGGATTGGAAAAAAATCCTTTTACTTAAGTTTCAGGTATATCAATGATCTAGCATTTGTCAAATATCCATATCCATCTACTGCTTTACCCACACGTACGAGAAATAGAAAAGACCAGTCAACCCGCCTCACCTGTTTCATATTTAGATTCATATTTCAAGATTCAGATGCTTTTCCAACGATTTCAAAGAACATCACACGCCACTCTTTCAAAAGCTGTTTTATCAAGGTTACAGCATTCATGGCATCAGAAGCTTCAAAACGTTTTGTGGCAGACATTGTGGAGGACATTTCCAATTTTGTCTCATCAGTGACAAAAATGATGTCACATGCAAATTCCCTATTTGACTTGTACCAAATGTTGCCATGTTTTCTTTGGGTTAACAACTGATTTGCCATTGCATGTATTTGTGAAGTGTGCCACAGTAGGGGCAGGATATACTCTCCATGCCAACACCTGGTGTCATCACTAAGTGATTATAATTCATAAACGGATGCCTATGATATAGTCGGAATAGTACATTGGACTCACTTGACATTGGTTTCTTGAAATTATGGAATGATTTTGTCACTTTTATTTGAAGTTACTCGCCTATATCAAACATTTACGACCAGCTACAATTGTCAGTTGTAATAATTTCTTTGCGTATCTTGAATATGGTCTATGAAAGAAAGCAAAACAGCCTTTGTAATGTTGTAATAAAGTTATTCAGAGAATGTGTATTTTAAGACTCTTTCCTGAATTCGTCTCATATTTAACTGACAATATTGCAGGGAGAACATGTTCATACTACATGTATATGTATGACAACAATAGCACACCTGGGGATTTCACAAAGATGCTATTGATGAATAACATTTCAGCAAGACATATCAATGATGTACAGAAATGTGAAGTAATCAAAATGGTTATGTTTTGGCACAGAGCTTATCTCTTGGCTTTTAACTGTTGTAATTATGGTATGATCCACTCACAGAATGACAAAAGTTTTGCCTGAGCATTTAGCATTTGTTGGTCGTTATACATAAAAGGCATTAGTCCTAATACACTGAATTGACACCACAGTATACATTCTGAAGAATTTGGACATCATAGATCACTGGCAGTGTACAATTCAACCTAATTTAAGTAAATGTTCCACAGATTCTAGAAACATTTCGGGACATTTCCCAACTGTTTCTTAAGTCTGGAGGGGCATCGCCAAAGTCCATCTGATTGACTTCCTGATGTGTTCCACAAATCTGTACACATTCGGATGCTGCTGCATAGATCGGTTTAGTCTTAACCAAAATCTTCCAGGCTGTTGCTGCCCTTGGTCCTATAGCAGAGTGGTGATTCCAGATGTCCATTGTAAAGCGATACGACGTTGGTGTTGGTGTGTGTCGTTCATGGCTTCGAGCCATGCATCTCGAACACTGCGAATGGGTAGTATTGGTAATCCAGCTGCTCCTCGGATCCATTTCTGAACTTGTGGATCTTCCTTGTAGTCAACAGCAAGTCCAAATTCCTGCGTCTTTCTCAATATAGGTTTTGACTTCGTCTTGTGCAAACATTTCTGAGGCAGCTTGAATCACAGAAAGATAGTTGGACATTACATGGGTCTTTTAATAAACTAAACAGTCTTGTGTACGTTGTTCTCCAGATGTCTGTAAGAAGCGCAAACACCAATGGATACATAGTAGTAACTGCATAGCATGAATTACGTAGTGGTGATTCCACAACTGGGGGTAAATGAAAATAAGTGCCACCATGTAGATTGCATCTGCATGTAGTGTTGTAAACTGGTCATCTGGTGAAAATGCTAAGATCTTATCTTCTTGACCGTCAGTGAATAATAGGAAGGGTCTGTCATCTTGGGTAGTAGGCCATTGGTTTTCGAGGTTGACGTCAGCTCTTGTCTAGTGAAGGGCTGGTAACAGTATAAGGAACTATTCATGTTACGGTATGACGGAAGATGAGGAATTATGTCTTGGTTCTCGTGGTTGATTGAATAGGTTTGCTGTATCGACGTGGTTTCTACACTTGTATGTTTCCTCATTGTGCTGTTCTCTCATCACTAGTAGGATGGTTGTGGTCAGATGTGTTTCTACCATAGTTCCTGACAATAGTATACTTGTCTAGGCACGTTCAATCGATGCATCGCCAATATATTCTCTTCAAAAAAAGAAACTTGACATAGATGTAAAACCACTTTTTGCCAAATATCTAAAATAATTACATTAAATGAGAACCAAATAAGTCAAACAGAAAGATGATGTGTCCATAATTCGCGAAAACAGTTTCATCCAAACGCATCCGCCTGAAAAAAACGTGCAGCACAGGATCCTGCATTTAGGCATGCAGGCCCCCCCTGCTGAATGGGTATAAAAATCCACATCAACACTGTTCATACAGTCCTTATAACGGCAGTAGAGGCGGTGACAGAATGCCAAGACTGAATGCAGCTCAACGGAACAACGCCATTGGGAGATTACAAGCTGGAGCAACTCGGCAAGAAGTGGCCAGGCACTTTGGCGTATCCAGACAGACAATCACGGCACTGTGGACCCGATACAACAACACCAACAGAGTTGACGACAGACCAAGGTCAGGAAGGCACAGGGTGACAACCCAAGCACAAGATCGATACATCCGGCTGCGACACCTCCGAGACCGCACTACCACAGCCACGTCTACAACCACACAGATCCCTGGGGTACGCAGAATATCAGATCAAACGGTACGCAACAGACTGAGGGCGGCTGGACTTTTTGCACGAAGACCTGTTCGACGTCATGTATTGACCCCACGTCATCTGGCGGACCGTCTGCTTTGGTGCCAACAGAGGGTTAGATGGGCACGTGCAAGGTGGAGAAATGTACTGTTTACTGACGAGTCCCGTTTCCTACTCACACGTGCTGATGGGCGCGCACGTGTCTACAGACGTCGGGTTGGACGTTACGCTACAAACTGTGTACCGCAGGTTGTCCCATTTGGCGGCGGGAGTGTCATGGTATAGGCCGGAATTCATCACGGTGGTAGGACGCCTCTCGTGCATGTGGCAGGTGCATTGACAGGTGTGCGTTACAGAGACTTGATCCTACAGCCTTACGTTCTTCCTCACATCAACGTTCATGGCGGACAGTTCCAACAGGACAACGCTCGACCGCATATTGCACGTGTTTGTCAGGACTTCTTACAGCACAACAACATCCAGACATGACCTTGGCCAGCCCGGTCACCAGATTTGTCCCCGATCTGTGGGACGAGTTGGATCGACGCGTTCGCAGAAAGAATCCACCGCCCCAAACACTTCCGGCGCCTCTTGATGCACTTCATCATGAATGGCAGCACTTCCAACAGCGTGTTACTGACAACTTGATTGCATCTATGGGTCGTCGGTGTCAAGCGGTGATTGATGCACGTGGTGGGCACAACCGATACTGACATTTTCTGTACCCCTGTGACATTAACTGTATCGTGTACGCGTGTCTGTCAAGGTGACACGATTAATGTTTTGAACATTGTGTACATTGATCTTCAAACAGTGTTTCAATTATGGTTTCTGTGTCCTATTTTTAAACAATTGCATTATATTACATTTTGAAAGTCAGTGTCAAATTTCTTTTTTGAAGAGTATATATATAAGGCAGATAGAGTTTAACAAATCAACTCTGAAAGCGGTTTCAGCCAGTCACTCTGACAGCTTTGGCCTCGTCCGAATACTAATTTATATCTATACAAACACTCATCCAAGTATTTATGACGAATTACCACCAATGTGGTGCAAGCAGCGTGTTCGTTTGGTGACACGGGGATTACGCCACATGATAAGACGGTAGAACACAGGCTCACACGCGTACGTTGGTACTGCTTGGTAGGGGACAAGTAGCGCCATGGGGTGCAAGTGCTCTTCTTGATATCCTGAACAGTGTACACCGATATTATATACCACAGCCTGTTGTAATGGCATGCATCTGATTTCACGCCCAATGACTGTTTCTGTCCTATCTGCAACAGAGTAACATCGATGTGTTTTCCTGTTTCCTCACTGGCAGGATCCCACACTCAGTGTCATTTGGATATTTGATGGGCCGACATTGACGCCGTCTTCCAAATATACCATCAACACTGCAATAATTCGTCCTGCTCTTCTCGTACAAGAGCCAACATCGCTCCAGACTCACACTCCTGTAAGGATTCCGCGTTAGAACAAACACCCGGGAACTCATGCTTGTCTCGTTCGGCGACAAAACGGATAGGGTAACCAAGCTCTGTGATATGGTTGATTGCCTGTCATCAGACCTTTTTGGCATGGGGCGTTGCTCTATATCTAGTATCATCCCTTGTTTGTCTGGCCCGTTATCTATTACATACAGGCCGCTGCCAGCTGGGGTGTAGCTGGGGTGGATGAAGACTGACTTGTCATGGATAGTCAAGGTCCAATTCCCCCTCAGGGCCACATACTAAGAAATAATATGTCATGTTCCTATATTAATTGGACAGTCAGTGCAAACAGTGAAGGTCATGATCAAGGCCACTGAAATGACCATTCGTAACTTAGTTCTTCATGTTTGTGTACTAAACCAACACCCTGTTTTGGTAGACGTTTACTGACAGCTTGTAGAGCTAACACGGATGTTTGCTAAAAGAAGTAAATATAAAATTAAACGCCAGAGAATAACCATTCTCGATTATCCAGATTAACATACAAGCTATTGGCTGAAACTGAGTGAGTGAGTGAGTTAGTTGGGTTTAACGCCGCTTTTAACAGTATTCCAGTTATATCGCGTCGTGTCAGCTTAATGTGGGAGGAAAGCCCGAAGTGATGCATGTCTATGATGTTTACCACTTCGGTGAAACGCTGAAACTGAGGGTCAATGTTATTTAACCGGAAGCTCACTCAACTTATTCAAGGTCGTTATAGGTATTGTGCCCTGTGTAGAAAATATAGTGCTTTGGAAATGTGTATATTAAATGTATTTAGCAAGGTTTTTAGCAAGGTTGCAACTGGTTTTCCGTGATTGTTCAATTGATCCTCAATTACCACAGTCAGGCACAGTCAGCTACAAACGCACAAGTAGAACTGACACATCCTAGCTTTGAATTTGAGAATAGTTGAAGAATGTACGGGACACAAATTCGGATTTTGTATCCCACCATTCTACACCACAACTGCCATGCTTGTGCGGACAATTTTTAGGTGGAGTGTACAAAGTGTCGGTCGTCACTACGTGCAGAATAGAAAGTCGCATAAATGATCAAGTACATAATTCATACATGTGTGTTTTGTGTATTTGTGACATAATGACAAACTTAACATGAAGTAAATACAATACTTACCTGTTGCTCGGACGAAGTGTCTTCTTCCGCCATTGCTTTACACTTCGACTCCGGGAGCCATACCTGTCATACATATGGATATAGATCTGAGTGAGAAGTGAGGTAATTGTATCTAAGCTCTGTCTATTTATGCAAGAGTCGTGGTAGTGAAACCCTTCTTTTGTATAAAGGACACCTCAGCAGTTCTTTTGACAAACAATACATAAGTCAGTTTAATCTCAAAGCCTATGTGTCGCATGCTGTTCCCAGTGGTAACAAAGCGGACTCATTCAAATCGTTTACAATATCTTCCGGGGGAGGGAGGGGGGGGGGGGGGGGGGGGGGGGGGAGGGGGGAGGGGGGAGGGGGGGGAGCGGGGGGGGGGGGGGGTAAGTCTACTCACAAACTGAGTTATATTTCAGTGCATATATAGACACGACAAAAGATCTGTGAAACTGAACTGAGTATTTCAATCGCGGTGATTGTCACTGTGGGACGCTTGACTACGCGATCGCATTGTAAATAGAAGACAACCTGGCTACGAGTCATTGGTGCGGCGTTTATGCTATGTATCTACGCTAGGATCAGCGTGCTGAGTACAGAATATAAGTGTCGTATGTTGAGTGTAACCAGGCACTGAATATTTTGGGGGTTTTTTTCAGACGCCGTTTCAATGCATTGTGTTAGTGATATGTATTGGTGGATCGACAAATGGAAATTATTTGTAAACGACGTGTTTGTAAGATATGCAGTAAATTCCATTGAAAATAGCGAATGCAAAATTTTTCTTTGCATTCTCTGCCATAAACTGCAGCTGCCTTATACGATCAGTATGAGTTGTCATTGTTTCTCTATTTAATCGGGGGCTGTCGGGTAGTCTGGTGGTTAAAGCGTTCGCTCGTCACGCCGAAGACCCGGGTTCGATTCCCGACATGGGTACAATGTGTGAAGCCCATTTCTGGTGTCCCCCGCCGTGATATTGCTGAAATATTGCTAAAAGTAGCGTAAAACCATACTCATGCACTCTATTTATTCGTATTGCTTACCCGTTGTTCACATTCTGTTGATCTTCACCTCTATCTGTTGTATTTGTATTACCGACTCTTGAATGTAATCTTTGACTTTGAGCTAAAGGATAAATATTAATTATACTTATTTATTTCATATTTCTATCTTTGCAAATCACCCATGTGACGTGTAATGTGAAACACGCCCTTGGAGGCAATCCATGTATATCATCGACCCATACTGAAGAAGGGTCAACCACTACCTTCACGAATAGGGCGACATTTTCAATAAATACCATGTCAAAGCCAGAGAATAACCTGAAAGCAATTCCATTGGGAGTTAAAGACCAAATTGCGGTGAAAATGATCTGAATGGATCACAGAAAATCAGTGATGACACCAGGTGTTCGCGAAAAGGGTAAGCATGTCTTGCCCTACCGGTAGCACCCGCCATTCATACAATTTGTATAAAAATATAAGTGTTTGTTGCCTGACGTCGTACAGCAGTACACCTGTCATGAAGACAATGAACTGTAACAGCAGACATGCGATTATACCACTGCCTGCCTAAAGATGCCAATTAGGCTACATTAATTAATATAGCATGCAGCTGATAGAAATACTTTAGAGTGCAATTAGTAAGTGAAAATGAATATGTTCCCTTAAAACTGTTGAGTCAGGCTAGAGAAAAGAATCAAATCTGTATTAGATTCGAAGTTTAAAATGATGTAAACTTGGTATCTTGCGAAATTTAAAAGTATATTGGGGAATATATAAACAAATCTTTTGTGCTTATTTGTAACAGAATCTGTGTTTGCAAGAATCCACGGCAGTAACGGCTGTTGACCGGTTCTCGTTGCTTTGTGTGTCATAATAACTTTTACTTTTGAGTATACAATATCAGAACCATGATGAATAGCTGTAAGACATATTTTCTTTCTCACTCGTGTCTCAGCAGGTCTTTGGACCAATCTCAATTAAAATCAGATCCTAGTTCTCGCTATCGCTAAACAATATCTGAAGACATCCCATTACGGGTCACGTCAGAACGACCCTTCATCCGACCAATCAAAGCGTCGCTTACCAGATCATGAAAGTGACAGTCGGAATGTGTTTTCTAATCATGCGACCTTCAAAACGTTAACACGGTGTATTCCGAACGACAGTTACGGCCAATACGACTGGTTCCGTCAAAATCATCGTCTGTCTCTCGCTTCCGCGGGATAAACATTTAAACGGAAGAGGCGTTTCGCAGTACGTGGGAAGCACTGCCATACAATCTCAACCATATATTAGACATTCCGGAAAGGCTGTTTGTTCAGTTTTCAAAATTTTAATCGAGAACTTTGTCAACACATTTTGCAAGCGTAGTCTAAAATGGAAGTCGCCAGGTTGAAACGAGAGTCGTAAAGCTCGAGAAAGCTGCTTTCTGATTGGCTGATGCCGACTTCTTGTCAGTCATTTCAGTGGTCGGTAAAAGTTCGCGAAAGGTGGTTCTGACGTGACCCGTATAAAATGTGTCATTTTCAGTGGGCCAGAAGCTTTACATAATTTCTGGTATAGTATACTTTGGTAAATTATCAGTATCGAATCCATTTACAAGGGTTACGTCACATCAGTGCTTTTGTTGATTGGTGGGTCTACAAACATAAAGCCCACAGTATCCATGAGTGAGTATAGTTCTTGATATCGCTTTGAAACGTTTAGCTAAGCCAGACAGAGACCCAACTAAATCAGACACTGGCCTCATGTTTTTGTATTTGAAATTTGCAAACAAGGGAATTGATGCCTTAAATATAAGTAACATTCTCAGACAAAAAACAGCTTACCAAAATGTCCAACAATATTTCAAATTTCATTAACCACCAACAATTTCATTTTCCTATACGAACACAATTTCATACAGGTTGTTCAATTGTAGAAACTTGTTTGTGATTGGTTACTGAATTTCCATGTACCTCTCTGACAGATAAGGTATTCACTTCATATACCACGCTGGGATAAGTCGAACATCGTACACATGCTTACACAATGATATGATCATAGTGTTTCGAACTGAACACCTTCAAATGGCAGTTAAGCGAACTCAACCGAGCATATCTGATTGCAGTGCATCTCTGTATGTCTTTACGTTGTCTGGAAGCTGTCAAGATCTCCACGAAACTGTTATCTAGGCATACTGATTAAGACACTGTAGAAAAACGGACGAAAATTATGCCTGTGAGATAAACCCGTGTCACGCGGGCTCTCGGTGTATAAGGTGTGATGAGTCCTGTGTTCGAGTCTATGTACTTCTCCCGGGACTGGGTACACGGGGCCCATCATGTCCCCCTCGAGACCGGTAAACAACTTATAATGTCCCTGCCGTCATAGTGCTTGAATATGACTAAAGGCGGCCTTAAGCAACACTCATTCACACGACAAAAGCTTTGGGGTTCATTTAATCGGAATTCCCTTGATTTGAATTCCTGAACCCTCTATCCCATCAGCTGAAATATCTTGAAGCCGATCTCCAAGTAAATGGCATTTGTTTGTAACAGATATCTACAATAAACGTGTTGTAAAGTTAATGATTCTGATTTCAACATGTGCCCACAGTATCGACACATTAAAGCTACAACACGACAATTCGCATATCCACTGACATTTCGTTCATAGTTACAGCACACATTTCACGCAAGATTTTTTTAAATTGCAGTTTTTTATCTCTGCCGAAATAAAAGGTAAATAACTTACTGACCACATAATCTGTTTTGTTTCGTTCAAATATAATCACAAACGTATGCTTGTCGTTGAAAGGAAAGTCTTCAGACAGTTTCGATCGTTTCTTTCCATCAACAAAGAAAATTCGGCACTTCGTACTCTTTGGCGTGTCCTTGATGTATCTCCATTCCATGTACACAATGATACCTTTGTCCTTTTAGAATGAAATGGACCATCTGGACAAGCGTGACATAATAAATGGCATTATTTAAAAAGAATAACGGCAATCATATTTCAAATATACCACTCAACATTTGCTAAGGACCAATCCCTTTGAATAAAGATAACTATTTTGATTGGTGAATAGTGTATGTTTTGGGTGATGAAATTCCTTCGCTGCAGGGACCTGCCGATTTTGACCCATGGTCTGTCATACCCTTGCTAGTAGAAAATGTCAACGACCTACGCCAATTTATGATGAGCTTAGGTGAAATGGTGTTTAAGGTCACGTTCGGGGGGCACGGGGGGCCCAGTCGTCTAAGGCGCCGCGATTCGCTGTGCAGAGTTGCGTCCCTTGGGCACGCCAGAAACATATGATTGTGGGTTCGAATCCCGGTTCGCCCCAATTATGTTTCTAGGTTGGTCAGCACCATACACGTGCTCGTGGGTTTCACCGAAGTGGTAAACGTCTAAGACCTGCATCACTTCGGGCTTTCCTCCCACATTAAGCTGACACGCCGCAATATAACTGGAATACTGTTAAAAGCGGCATTAAACCCAACTCACTCACTCACTTTAAGGTCACGTTCAAGTTTATTGTACTTATATAGCGACCTTGCATATGTGTTGCTGCTTGTACTAGTCCGACTTGTGTCGGTTTGAGAATACTAAGCCACTGAGATACCATGACGCAGATCAACATGGATACCATATAGACAGTGTTCTGACTCTTAGCCAAATAGACCTTGTTTTATACAAGAACCATCTGTTAACGTCTTTTGGTATGACGCTGCCTGGGATCGAGCACACGACATTCCTCTTTTTCCGGGCAGGCGTTGTATCCAGTAGACCACGGAGACCAATTTAGTAACGTCGTCACATAACTGATATATTGTTAAACGGCGTTCAGCTCAACCCACTTACCAATTCCAGGTCCTGGAGGCAGATTATTTGGACATTTGTGTTTCCGATATCGGTATCTTTGGTATAAATGCCCTTGCATGTAGCACCAAAAATGTATTAATCATCCAAGTAAGGTTTGATAATCAATAGTATTTACAAGAGCAAAATCGGCGTAGAACTATTAAAACCTTACTTTGTAGGATACATCAGTTGCAGATGTACCGTGACGCTCCTTCCAGTGGAGTGGGCGAGAGTAAGTTTGTTTATTCAACGATGCTACAAATGTTATGAATACTTACAACAAAACGACACATTTCAGATTCAAAGATAGAAGAA